TTGTTTCCCTGTCCCTGGGTTTGTTAACACCTTAAAGAGTATTATTATAAGTAACATATACATTATATTGAGATTGATGGCGATACTTTTTTCTAGTACTGAAAAAGTAAATATATTTAGAGGAAAAGCACATACATATAGAACCCAAAACCCAATGCAGTTGAATCCATTTCAACTCAAAGCTACCCTATTTAGGGTCTCCAAGACTACACATCTTTGCAGGAGCAGGCGGCCTCATCTTTCTCCTGAGTGGCAGCTGGTGGGTTTGAACCTCGGACCCTGCGCTTAGTGACAATGCTTACTCAGCAGCGCCACCAGGGATCCTGAAAACATATGGAGCCAAATAAAAAATACTCTAAACAAATTAAAAATCGGGCCTAAAATCTATTCTGAGTGCCAAGTAGTTAAGCAAAGGTTTGGCCAGAAGTCAGATTCTGAAACATCTAATTTACTGTATACCACTTACTTTGTGTGTCTTAATGACGTAGCTGATCTTGAAATTGGGCAGTTTTTGTTTTTATGAGCTCGACTTTGTCCTGTCATTATTTGAACAAATGTTCCTCTGCTTTTTTTTCTTTTTCACCCTTTAATGAAGGTGGGATTTTTGTTTTGTTTTGAATGAAATGCGGTTCAGGGTCGTTTTATAACCTTAGATAAAAAACCTTAGCATCCCATTAGACTCTATCAACCTTGTTTTCACTTTGGATTTTTCACGTTACTTTTTGTCCCAGTAACAATCCTAAAACCTTGCTTGAAAAAGATGGAGCCATCCTAAGAAACAGGGTGATCTTACTGAATCACTGCATTCAGCTGGTAGTTTACCTTGAGCCTGCCAGATGTCACGGTCAGCTTATTTGAAATGTCAGATAACCCCACAGTGTCCCCACTGGCAGTGTCAGGGACAGACTCAAAGCTGTCTCCCCAGCCAGGAGTACCCTTTCTTCCTCTAGATTCAGGCAGGTAGGCAGAGCAGTTAGCCTAAATTCAACAGTTTGGAAGCTTGTGCAGGGTGTGTGTGTGTGTGTGTGCAGGCACATGTACATTTGAATATATAACTGGTATGTATGACTTTGTCTTAGTTTAGTTTCCTTATTGAAAAATAAAGGAAAGAAAACTAATCCGAGTTGAGCAGAAGGAACAATATAAAGTATACTTAAACCTACTTGTTGATACTCAAGGATGTTTGGTGAGGGATGCTTTAATGCCACAGTGAACTTGCTGGCCATTTCCCTGTCAGCGTATTTTATAAAGAAAATGTTGTGTGCTTCAAGAGAAGGAAAGGCCAGGACGTGGTCGGGAAATGCAGGTTGCTTGGCAATAGGGGTCTGTGTCAGACCCAGCCAGACTAGGAGTCTGCTCCCCGCACCTCAGACGCCTTCCCGAGTTCTGTCGGGGGGCAGGGGAAGCCTGCTTGATCTATGCACTAGGCGCATGCGAACTGCCAGCGCAGTCTCCCTCCGCGACTTGGCTGAAGGGTGTGCTCTGGTGGGATAAGAAGCAAAGCATCCGGAAATGCTCTGGAAGACCACAGGGTAGGTGTTCCCGGCACCTTTCCTCATGCCTCTTGCCAGGAACCCAGGGCAGCTGTACGGTGCCTTCCCACCCCTCGAGGTGTTTTTAAAAAGTCAGTTGCTCTTAGATAATAGGTTGCGTTGCTCTATAATGTTCTGAAAGTCAGAGCCCTGGTGTACAACTCAAAGAAATGGAATGTGGACCCAGTGCAGCCCTAATCTCCACAGCAGAAGGGTCTGTAGATGGCACGGCTAGAGTAGCAACTCATCGCTAGGACGTACTCTCTGCTTCAGGATTAACCTGGCCCTTAACAGGCTAGTCTTCAAGTTCTCAAGACACATAGAAGAGCATACGTACTTTGTTTAGTCTCGATTTTTTTAAAACTAGGTCTATGAGTTATAAAGACATTCTAAAAGAGGCCCTAAGGATCAAGGTGCTTCTCTTAAAACTAGTTCTCTCAATTCATCAGTGATTGGTTGTAACTGGTATTTAAATTGCCAGTCCTCATGGGAAGCTGGGCCTTGCAAACTCTTTTAATCCGTCCTTGTATAAATGGCTCTCTACATTGCCCCAATTTGAATGCCTGGCTTCTGGGGGAAATCCTGGCCGGTTGGGTGAGAAGGGAAGAAAGGGCGGGAAGGAGTTGAGTCTGTAACCGTGCTTTCCTTTCCTGTAGTGTGTTCCATGGGAAACGGCACGAGCAGACTCTATAGCGCTCTCGCCAAGACACTGAACAGCAGCGCTGCCTCCCAGCACCCAGAGTATTTGGTATCACCTGACTCAGAACATCTGGAACCCATTGACCCAAAGGAACTTCTGGAGGAATGCAGGGCTGTCCTGCACACTCGACCTCCTCGGTTCCAGAGAGACTTTGTGGATCTGAGGGCAGATTGCCCCACTAGCCACCCACCTATCAGGGTCATGCAGTGGAACATCCTCGCCCAAGGTATGCCTGATGCTTTGTTACGTGACACCCTTACTGCCTTTGCACCTGTCCAATGCCACCTACAGGTTAGGGCGAGGGATAGGTGTGGGTAGATAGAGGTGTAGGAGTGCTTACAAGGGAGGTTAGAAAAGGGTTCCATCTGGTTTTCATTAATAAAACTAGCAACTCAAGATGTGTTCTTTCCCTTTGATGTTTGCGGGCTGTTCAAGTACAAGGTAAGTCTGCTATGCTACTTGCCAACAGATCCTCACTTAAATGGCCTTGTCTTTCTTTCATGGACCGAGGAGCCCTGGTGGCGTAGTGGGTTATAAGTGAGACAGGTAACTGCAAAGCCAGCAGTTTGAAACCACCAGCTGCTCCTCAGGAGAAAGAGGAGGCTTTCTACTGCTGTAAAGAGTTAGTCTAGGGGAGGGTGGGGGGAGGAAAGAAATCTTGGAAACCTACAGGGGCAGTTCTACCCTGTCCTGTAGGCTCACTGTGAGACAAAGGGATTCAATGGGTGTTTATTGATCAATTAAATGGAACCACCTCAAACTCTGTTCCTCTTTGTCCACAGCAACATGATAGCATCTTTGCAGGTGCAGGTGTGGAACGGAGTCTGTGCTTGGGACCTGGGGAGTCCATCTGTTCTTGCAGCCAGATTCTTACCTCTGTGTATCTGTATAACTTGATGTCAGTGTTCTTTAAAGTAGGAGAATATGTGAAAACTTCCCACCTTCCCTTGCAAAGCAACCAAAGAGATGATGTTTCAATTCTGCTCAATAGATTATTACCTTCAAAAAGATGCCTTTCCTGGGTCTGCTGAATTAAAAAGAGATTTACCAATCAGTTTTGTAGCCTGGCCTTTCAAGTAGCTGTTGATAGTTTAAGGGAAACAGGGGCCTCTTTTATTCCTACGAAAGAACGAGCTCGGGTCCTTTGTTGTATTTTCCAGCTGTTCCTTTACGAGCGAGAGTTCTCGTTTGAAGTTGGGTCCATTCATTCCAGTGGCATTGGTTTGTAGCAGTCCCTCTTGTAGTTGAGTGGCTTTCTTACCGTGTTTTAAAATCATACAGCGTTAGCTCTGAACCTCATTTGACATTTAGGCCTCAGACTACAAAGAATACCAATTCCTTAGTTGAGGTGAAAAACTAAAGATCTGTCTGGAATATAGTTGCAGGAAATAGTTTTAGTAACAAGTAGCTTTTTTCCCAGAAGGTAAGAGGCTAGTACGTCTGGGTGGGTTAATGACACTGAGATAGAGAAGGGCCACTAAGTGCCGTAAGTGAAGGGTGTGTGGTGCATGGTGCGTTTACCTGACAGTGCCGGGCCTCAGGAGACGTCCAGGGACCCTGATGATCCTTGTTCTATAGCAGCTGGCACTGATTGGCTCTCTTATTTCAGCTCTAGGAGAAGGCAAGGACAACTTTGTACAGTGCCCTCTTGAAGCACTCAAGTGGGAAGAACGGAAATGCCTCATCTTAGAAGAAATTCTGGCCTACGAGCCCGATATCTTGTGCCTTCAAGAGGTGGACCACTACTTCGACACCTTCCAGCCGCTCCTCAGTAGACTGGGCTATCAAGGCACTTTTTTCCCCAAGCCCTGGTCCCCCTGCCTAGACGTGGAGCACAACAATGGGCCAGATGGCTGTGCGCTGTTTTTCCTCCAGAACCGGTTCAAGCTCGTCAACAGTGCCAATATTAGGCTGACGGCCATGACCGTGAAGACCAACCAGGTGGCCATTGCACAGACCCTGGAGTGCAAGGAGTCCGAACGACAGTTCTGTGTCGCTGTCACCCACTTAAAAGCACGCACTGGCTGGGAACGGTTTCGATCGGCCCAAGGCTGTGACCTCCTCCAGAACCTACAGAGCATCACTCAGGGCGCCAAGGTCCCCCTTATTGTGTGCGGGGATTTCAACGCCGAGCCAACCGAGGAGGTCTACAGACACTTCGCTTCCTCCAGCCTCAACCTCAACAGCGCCTACAAGCTGCTGAGTGCGGACGGGCAGTCGGAGCCTCCCTACACCACCTGGAAGATCCGGACCTCGGGGGAGTGCCGGCACACCCTGGACTACATCTGGTATTCCCAGCATGCCCTGAGTGTGACTTCCGCCCTGGACTTACTGACTGAAGAACAGATCGGGCCCAACCGACTACCATCCTTCAATTACCCGTCCGACCACTTGTCTCTAGTGTGTGACTTCGGCTTTAATGAGGAGCCTGGAGGACTTTTGTAAGTACTTGTCTGTGTCCGGCTAATCACGGAGTCTTAGGGATGTTTCAGGAAACTGAAGTACACTAAGAAGTTGCCTGCGGGAAGGATTCCCAGTTTCTCTGACTTCTGTTTCCAGCATGCTCTTGGGAAGGCATCCATTAATTAGTTCATGAAGTCCTTGCATTAAAACCTTCTGGGGGAAAAGGTGTTTCCCCTCCGCCTATTTTGACTCATATTGTTTTCTTTCCCATAAGATCACATTTTGATCACTTAAGGGCACTTTTGAAATCTCAGACTTGCTCGAGTCCTGCAGGATTTAACAGAGGCAGGGTGCAGGAACAATTGCCCTAGATTACCTTTCAAATTTATTTATTTGTAGGGTTTTTTTTATATCAACAAAAGTTATGCATGGCAATATTTATTTTTTATATCTCCACGTAGAATCAGTAAATTATGACTGAACCGTTTAGAACCTTACAAAACGCAAGTTAGAGAGTGACCTATGGGGACTTTCCAACGTTTGCCTTCGGGGTCTGCAGCGGGATGGTTTCTCAGAGGGGTTTTTGTGTACGGTTTTCACGGGAAGGACCAAGCCTCCCAGACTTAATTCTCACCCATTATCCTTGCAGTGGCGCCATCCGCTTCCCCACTATTATTTCCCCTAGCAGTTCCGGGTGAGCCTGTCTTCGTTTCATCACGATTCTTCATTTCTGCTTTTCCACTGGAGTGCTCTTAGTATGCATTTGACGGCAGCACTGTTCCCTTTTTTCCACACACGAGGTTATTTAGGAACTGTTAGGGAGCAGGAGCTCAGCATGTCGAGGGGACCATCTCTTTAGAAAAGGGAGACTAGAACACCTGCTACTGGGGCTGACACTGCGATGTCCTGTGACAGCTCGGTCATGTGGTTTAGGCATCTACGAAATAGGGAGTTGGGTAGTAAAGTAAGCTAATCTGGAATTTAATCGGAAATAAAAGTGACAACCAAAGGTAAAGCCCCTTTATAAAAATTCCCAACTACTTCCTGGTAATAAATTCATAAACATTTGAATCCATGAATTGTAAATACTGAAGATTAATAAAGGCTCTTTTAAAGCTACTGTATGTAATATTTTTGTCGTTTTTAGCACCTCCCTGCTAGAGATCTCGGTGTAGACTGAATCTTTTGATACTAGTCTCTAGTGACCCACACTCTATTTACACACACAACCTTCATTTAACAAGTGGACTAGGATGATCCACAGTTGCACCACGGAGACATTCATCCTGTATCATACAGCATCTCAGCACCAAAGTCATGTATGGAAACCACTTTTGAAAACAAAGGTGGTTTTCAGTATATTGTTTACATGATATTTTGCAAATACCTGGAAGGAATGGCAAGCAGGAAGAATGTAAGCCTTGGCTTAAAAAAAAAAAAATCCACAATGGAAATTTCCGTGAGTGCTGCTGCTGGCTGCCTTTGATTGGGTGACCTATCCAAGGGGGGTCCCAGGCACAGTGGGATTGTCCCTGCCTGCGTTTTAGAAGTACTGTAGATCGGAGTTCTTAGCCCATCGTGGTCTAGAAGCTCCACCAAGAACTGTTCGCTTCACGGCAACATGTAAGTCTCCACTGATGAACAGATGGATGGCCCCTGCACTTGAAGTCAAGAACTGAGCCTGCCAGGTTTCCCTCGCTGATCTCCCTCTGCCCTCAGTTGCCATAGACCATTTCATTCATCTTTACATTGTTTTCATCGTACAAATAGTGCTAGGTTTCACATCCTTTTACTCTATCTCAAGTCTTTGTGGCTACTTTGCCTTACGGACCGTCAAGAGTAACCCGAGGCATTATCCATAAAGAACTGATTGGTACGACAGGAGACTGCATACATAGACTCTAAATGTTTGAGTATAATCTATGCATGGACTTGCTACTGTCTGTAATTTTGGCTCAGCTGTTCCTTTTCCTCTCCCTTACTTTGATGTAATGAGAGGCTTGTGTCGTGCTGACGGGAAGAGGCGGTGAGGACGCCATGGACCTACTCTTCCTGTACACTCGCCTTCACGGTGGCCACCCCAGTGGACTCATATAGTACGTTGTGAGGAGGGAACAGGACTGGGCAGTGTGTTGAATTCCTTATCTTTGACTCTTGGAGATTTATTATGCTCTAGCACTACTTTTTAAATTCTAGGTAGTGGCTTAATCAAATAGTGTGACTTGAAGCTAATTGTTCCAGAAGTCAGGCTTCAATCAGGTCTGTATAGACCCCAGGTGTGTGCTGCTTCACTACCATCATGTTCTCTTGGCCATGATGGGAAGAAAAGTGGTATTTTTGTCCTGTGGGGAAGAGATGTGCTCATAGATAAATGCTTAAGTCAAGGACATAACATTTATGACTTTGATACTTTCTTAGTACACACACACACACAGTGTTGGAATAGAATCAAGATGAGTGGCTGAATGATTACCATTTTAGCTAGCTGAATACAGTGAAACCATACTAATTGTTTTTGGCCAAAGTAATTTGCACTTTGAAAGGGTGGAACTAGCAGTATTAATAGAAAACTGTGTCCACAACAATATGACTTTAAGGCATCACCAGGGAAGATAGTCTAGTGTTGTTTTAAACTAAAAGGATATTGATGCATTCAAACTATTCATGCATATTCTGCACTCAAACTTTGTAAAACCAGTCCAAAATCTTGGACTGTTAGATATAATTGATGTGAAATTTCCAGATTTTTTAA